TCCAACGCGCGTCCAGCGCGCGGCCAGCACGCGGCCAGCACGCGCTCAGGACGCGCGCTGGCCGCGTCAAAACCTAAAACTCTAATGAGGAGAATATAAGGATTCAAGGGCTTGCTTGATGATGCAATAGAAGTTTGAAGATTGCGGAGCTTGATTGGCGTCTAGTTCTTCATTCTCTCTCTCTGTTCCTCTGTTTTAGCTTTGAGTTTGTGTTATTCTTTGAGATTTGTGATTGATTATGGATTTGGTTTTTGGTTTGTTTATGCATTCTGATTTGGGATTTTTAATGTCTTGTTTTAGCTAAACTCTTAGAGCTAAGGGCTTAATGTAGTTTTAACGTTGCTATGCTTTGAATATTCTAAGTTCCTTTCACATATTGAGATTTGGGAAACACAACATAGATTTAATTGAGTTTGAGAGGCCAATTAATTCGGGTAGTCAAGATTATGTTTGCTTAATGGATGCTTGACTCGGTTAGGCTAATAAGAAAATTGCTTAATTGGTTTTGTATACTATTTTTCTCAGCACTCGGGATATGGAGTTAAATTATTTTCGAAACGGGATATGGAGTTAAATTATTTTCGAAACCTAGACTAATGAAAGTGAAATAAATTGAACGCAAACATAAGGACATGCACAAAAGACCTATAATACGACATTTAAAAACGACAAGAATCTAGAAAATGGCAACATATCAAAAAAACTTCAATGACCACTAGAAACGACAATGATATCTGACGACGATGGAAACATAAAATTACCACGGAACTCAGTCTCTCAGAAAAATGAAAGCAACAACCAATAAAAAAAAACAAAAAAGAAAATATCCTCAATTAAAAAAAACAAAAACTATATTAGCCTGGAATACGATAACGATTAATAAACAACAATGGCCTCAAAATGAGCAGCAACATCAATTAAGTGTACTATTAAAACTAATCATTAACAATAGTAAAGAATGGCCAATGCCATATTATGGGATGCAGGTTTCTAATTCAATGTCATCAACTCATTAAACAAAGGGTTTTTCAAATTTTTATATATGTATTTTGAGATTATCAAAAATCATATCTGTATTTTAAGATTATCAAATTTTTATGCTCAATTCATATATTTTCTAGGTCAATGGCTAGTTTTGACTGCACAAGAGACGTAAATACCCTTAAAGAAAGAAAGAATAGGAATAAAAAATTAAGAAAAAATTCAAAGCACGAAAACATAAAGGTTATATATGTTAATCTTATAGCCAAAATCAATCTTTGACCGGAAAGAGGGAAGGATTAGCAAGTATTTGAAATATGAAGGCATAAATGGACACAAATGAAAATACGAGGTATTTTTATAACCTCAATATACAAGGGAAAAAAATAAAAATAAAAACATCTAGGCCCTAGTTAAGTATTTTCAAGCACTAATAATTCCGAAACACTATAAGGAATTTATGAGGTTTCTTCTGATAAAAACACAAAAACAGGATCGTGTTGGCATCAAATAGTTGTCCTTTGCACCGTAGAAATGACGTCTAATAATTTAGGTTGTCAATCAATATATGTCCCTTCACATATTTTTTTGCATAAATAAAAAATAAAATAAAATAAAAACTTAAAAGGGCACATTTAGGGTTCGTTTGCATAAGGGTTTGAATTAGAGTGATTTTAATTTTATTTTTTAGAACCAGAATTATGATTCATCATTTTGGGTCCAAATCATAGTTCTAAAATCAGAATTAGAATCAGTTGTTTGAATTACCCAAAAGTAAGGGAATGGGTGGTTTTAGAATCAATGGTGATTTATGATTTAAAACATCATATCAGGATTCAAACCTTGAATCAGAACCATCCAAGCTAAACACTGATTCTAGATGAGTCAAATAAGAACCACTTTTCACATTTTATAAATAAACATTGACTTGAACCTAGAATCATGATTCCAGGTTCAGAATTCTTATACCAAACACCCACTTAATGTGTCATCCAATTCTGAAAGAGTTCGATCAGAACAGCCAAGCAGTGAAGTTTACTACGACAACATTTTTTTGTCAAGAAATGAAAAAGTAATTCTTAGTTACATGAATGAATGTTTGACGCCTTTACTCTCTAAACTTTTTCGCAATTGGAAAGTTAGCCTTGAACTTTTAATTTTGTTAAATTATACCCGATCAATTTACTAAAATGTTACATAGGGCACAAAATTGATGATTTTTATAAATTTAGATGGAAACACCCACAAGCATGTCACTTAACTGACGTGCTCTATCATAATTTGTACTTTCAACCGAGCTTACGTGAAGTGCACCAGGTTATTTCGATTTAAATTTTAACATTTTACAATACTTCCATTAAATTCACGGTAATATCTTTATTTTAATCTGTAACTTTACGGAATTTTTTTGGACAGTACTTCTAATATCTCTAAATAATCAGCATTTGTGCTAAACAATCACTATATATAAATATATATATATATATATAATCTTTATTTGATAGGATGCTCAAATATATCATGCATTCCTTTAGTTTTACGGTTTTCTGACTTTACTTTATCATAACAAAAGATAATGTAAGCAAACAGCTACTAGAGTAAAGAATTAGAAATTACAAGTTACTTTGTCTTCCTAGAGATTTTTTCAATTGGGGAGAGGTCATAAGCAATGGGAATCAAGTGCAAATCATCTTTTCTTCTAACTGTAACGCCCAAAGATTCAGTCATGTCCAAGTCTTCATGTTTCATTCCATTCGGGAGTTTCCAATCAAAATGGTAAAGAAACATTGCAAGAAGGAGCTCAACATTGATCAAACCGAACGACATGCCC